ACCTGCATAAAAACAAGATCCAGGGCTGGGAAGGTGGCTCAGGATGGTAGAGCGCTTGCCTTGCATGCTCGAGGCCCTGGGTTCGATTCCTCAGCACCACATAAGAAAAAAGAAAAAAAAAGCCGGAAGTGGTGCTGTGGCTCAAGTTGTAGAGCGCTAGCCTTGAGCTGAAGAGCTGAGGCACAGCACCCAGGCCCAGAGTTCAGGCCCCATGACCGGACCAAAAAAAAAAAAAAACAAGATCCAGCCGGGTTACCAGTTGCTTACTCCTATAATGTTAGATGCTCAAAGGCTGAGCTCTAAAGATCTTATTTGAACACAGCCTGGGAAGAAAAGTCCATGAGATTTTTTTTTTTTTTTGGAGGAGGGGTTGGTCATGGGGCTTGAACTCTGGGAACTGTCAGCTCTTCAGCTCAAGGCTACTGCTCTACTACTTGAGCCACAACACCACTTCTGGTTTTCTGGTGCTTTATTGGAGATATGAGTCTCACGGACTTTCTCGCCTGGGCTGACTCTGAATCCCAATCCTCAGATTTCAGCCTCCTGAGTAGCTGGGATTATAGGCCTGAGCCACTGAGGCCTGGCTCCATGAGACTCTTATCCCATAGTTAACCAGCAAAAGGTTGGAAGTGGAGCTATGGCTAAAGTGGTAGAATGCCAGCTAGTTGAAGCACAAAAGCTCACAGGGATATCACCCAGATCATACCCAAATCCAAATCTATTCTTTCACAACCTATACAAAAACCAAACTTTCCTTTTTTTTTTTGGTCAGTTGTGAGGCTTGAACTCTGGGCCTGGGCACTATTCCTCAGCTCTCCAGCTCAAGGCTAGCGCTCTACCACTTGAGCCACAGCGCCACTTCTGGCTTTTTCTGCTTATGTGGTGCTGAGGAACCAAACCCAGGGCCTCATGCATGCAAGGCAAGCACTTTACTACTCACTGAGCCACCTTCCCAGCCCTCCTTTTTTTTTTTTCTTTTACCAGATCTAGTTAAGAACTTAGTTAAATTTATGGCATTCCTGCATATTTATGGGGAACATGAAGGTAATTAATTTATGGTATTTTTATCACAATTATAGAGTATGTGGTAAACCACTTATTAGTCTTTAAGGCAAATTTAACTGCCATGAAAAGACTAGCTTCTTTTATATGAAAACAACTTCTTCAGTTTCAAATGGAACTCACTGTAAAACTATTGTACATGAAAATAATCTAGAAGGATGGATAGGAACATGGTTCTATCCAATCCTTAGGATTCTCTTTATATGTCCTGCCCCCTTTGGAAGTAAAGCATGGCCAATTCTAGGCAGGAAAGACCAAGGAACTGTGTTCAGGCTTTCTTTAATTCCTCAGGAATTATATTTACAGAAAAGAAACCTAGACCCAAAGAAACAATATCAAATAGGAAATCGGTGCTAAAATGCTTAGTAACCATCTTGGAAAAAAAAATTTTGTGTTCCACTCTTGGGGCTTGAATTCAGAGACTGGGTGTTTGTTGTTCAAGGCTAGCATTCTACCAGTTGAGCCACAGCTCCACTTCCAGCTTTTTCCTAGTTAATTGGAGATGAGAGTCTCATGGACTTTCCTGGCCAGGGTAGCTTGGAACTGAGACCCTCAGATCTCACTCTCCTAAGTAGCTAGAATTACAGGCTTGAGTCACCAGCATCTAGCTAATCTTGAATATTTTATTATTTTTTCCTCAGTACAATTGAATCAACATGGTAATTTATTCATGCATATATAATAAAGTCAGACAAAGCTCAAACATTGCCCTTTCCCAATCTCCAATACCCTATTGATCAACAGTTTTCATAAGTTTCCTTTACAATATCTTCATAAAAACACTATGTAGAGCTGGGTGTGGGTAGCTCTCGCCTGTAATCCTAGCTACTGAGGAGACTGAGATCTGAGGATCGCAGTTCAAAGCCAGCCTGGGCAAGAAAAGTCTGTGAGACTCTTATCTCCAATAAGCCACTAGAAAACCGGAAGTGGCACTGTGGCTCAAGTGGTAGAGGGCTCGCCTTGAGCTGAAGAGCGCAGGGACAGTGTCCAAGCCCAGAATAAAAAAAAGAAAAAAAAGCAACATTGGGCATGACCTTTCCAGGATGGCTTCTTGTTCCAGCACCAGAGTTCAAGACCCATGACCGACAAAAAAAAAAAACCCACTATATAAGGCTAGAAGTGTGGCTTATTGGTAGAGTGCCTGCCTACCATGCATTAGGCCCTGGATTCTATTCCTCAGTATAATACACAGAAAAAGCCAGAAGTGGTGTGGCTATGGCTCAAGTTAAAAACAAAAAACACAAAAAAAAAACAACTATGCATTTTTATTTATTTATGTTGGTCATGGAGCTTGAACTCTGGGCCTGGGCGCTGTCCCTCAGCTCTTTATCTCAAGGCTAGAGCTCTACCACTTGAGCCACAGCGCTGGTAGATCCAGCCTGTAATCCTAGCTACACAAGAGGCTGAGATTGGAGGACTGAAGTTCAAAACCTGCCCACGTAGGAGAAGTATGTGAGACTTTTTTTTTGGTATGTCATGGGGCTTGAACTCTGGGCCTGGATGCTGTCCCTCAGCTCTTCAGCTCAATGCTAGTGCCACAGCGCCACTTCCACTTTTCTGGTGACTTTCATGTCTGGACTGACTTTGAACCATGATCCTCAGATCTCAGACTCCTTAGCTAGAACTCCAAGCATGAGCCACTGACACCAGACGAGACTCTTTTAACCACCAAAGAGAAGTGGAGCTGCTGCTCCAGTGTAGCAAAAAAGCTCAAGGGCAGTGCCCAGACCCTGAGTTCAAGAACCAGGACTAACACACACATACATATACATACATATACACACACAGACAGTCACAGACAGACACACACACACACACACACACACACACTATAAATAAGATGGAAACGAGCTTAACTGAGTTAAAATTGTGGAGATGGTTGAAGTGTGTGATTACACTAAGGCCTATCAAGCTGTACACTTCAAATAAGTGACCAAATAGGTGAAGTACTATGTACTTCAATGAAGTGTTAAGAAAACTATAAAACAAACTCAGGTCAAAGACTGGATCAAACATCAACTTGAGAGTTCAAGGATGAGACTTCAGGTGAAACACCAAGAGCAGGCCAAAGGGGGTGTGGATAAAATCTGACAAGAGGAAAGACAATTAATCTTTTAAGTAATAAAAAAAAATGACATATAGAACAATCTAGTTCAGCTAGAAACCTGCCAGGATGAGATAAAAAATTAAGGGAACTAGTATTGTTGGCTTACACATGGAATCCTAACCACTCAGAAAGTTGAGTGTTTAAAAACAGCCCAGGCAGATACTTCCGAGATTCTTGTGATTCAAACCTTCAATTAACCGGGAAAAAGCCCACAGTGGAGCAGAGCACTATCCTTGAGCACAAAAGCTCATGGACCAGTACCCACGTCCTGAGTTTGACACTCAGCCCCATGACTGGTGCAAAAAAGGAAAAAAAATTCAGGATGAAAGGATGGGCCTCACGCTCAGGATTCAGAACCTTGAAAAGCCACATTTGAGAACCTGGAAATAAGTATCATGGGAGTTTCTTACCGAATTGTTTCTAAATAGAAGGCAACAGATTATAAATTATCTACATGGTTCAGGGGAAGGAGTGGCAAAGGCCTGTAATCCCCGCACTTGGAAGACAGGCAGGATGATTCAAAGTTCAAGGGTACTCTAGGCTACAAAGTTACCTGGCCTTTAAGGAGGAGAAAAAAAAAGAAAAGAAAAGAAAAAAAGCAGCACAGACAACATTATCTACATGTACTCAAAGACATGCTTTTTACCCTAACGAAGGCAAGACCTGGGTGAGTCACCATTTTTGGAGCTCTGTCTGTACCGGTACCATCACCACTCCTAAACTGTAGAAGTCAAACTAAGCCCTTGACTCTAATAATCTTGACCAACCACCTCCCACTCCCCCCGTATTATCTTCAAAATGCAACACTACTAAGGGACAGTTCCCACAGATTGGGCAGAGAATAACCCAACACAGCTAAAAATCATGAAATGAGGGGAGGGAAACCCGAGAAGTGTCGACAAGGATAGCATTAAAAGGTCTGGAGAGGCAACTTTTGTGTTACAGCGCTCGCCTAAGCCTACACAAGACCCAATACTCATCTCCAGCATCACCAGGGAAGGTGGGGGGGGACACGTGCGGGGTAGGGCTGGTCTGTAACTTCAATCCCTCTCGGAGAGGCTGAGGCAGGAGGATCACTAGGAAGAACGAGGCCCAGCCTAAGCTACATAGCTTCTGCCTCAAAAAAAAAAAAAAACTAACTACCAAGTGTCCATTTTATTAAATCTCTTGTCTTTTATCAATCCATGCTACCCTACCTGGATAGAGATAGCGGATGGGTGTATTCGGAGCCTGACCCCAAGGCTCCAGCTCCCTCCTCCCCCACCCCCCACTTCGAGGTGCTGCCCCGCCCCCACTCACGTGGGACTCTGGAGATGGCCTCGCCAGTCCGCCGTCCCCACAACCCATTCAAGTTAAGAACTCTCATTAAGCACCTGCTGTGTGTTAGGGTCCGAGCCTCAGGGTGGATATTCAAAAATGGTCAGCATGCCTATTGGGGCCTACACTCCACCCTTTTATTACCAAAAAAAAAAAAAAAAGAAGACTCCTAGTCCATCCTCCATCCAGGGCCTGCCTCCCTTCCATTTCTGATCCATGCCCTTCCTCTCCACTAATTGAGTATTGGTTCCCCCACACACACCCAGAAAAAAAAAATAGGAAATGAAATCTTCCTCTGGCCCACGGGAAAAGGCACTCAAAGGCGGGTGGGCCGCTTGGAGTATCCCGAAAGAGGACGGTGCGGATCTCTTACCACCTGGGTTCTGGGTTTAGAACCAGGTGACCTCGACCCCCTCTCCCCCGCCTCTCCCCGGGCCTGCATTCCCCAAGCCGAACGGAGCGAGCCGCCACCTCCCCAACCCCAGTGCACGCGGCCGGCCCGGCCCACACTTACGGCGTGCAGCGGTCGCTATATTCATTAGCAATCGTCTCGATGCCCCCGGCACGGGCCACGGCCACGTAGCAACTCTGGAAACCCAGGTCTATGCCCACCACCGACATGGCGCCGGGTATTTACTCGGGCTCAGGCCCGGGTCCGGCCGCTGAAGAACAGGACGCGGACCCCGGCGGGGCTGACTGGGCGCGCTGAGGACGGGCCGCGCGAGCTGCAAAGGCCGGAGCGAATGGGGGAAACCTGCGGGTTGTCCACACGCGAGCCGCCTGTAAGTCCTTGGACGGAAACGCCGCGACCCTAGGGCACCCTCAGGCCGGCTCTCCGGCACCGGCTCAGCCGCCACACAGCAGGCGCCGGCCGCGGGGGCGGAGAAGATCTCGAAAGATCTCGTTGCGACGGGAATCTAGAGCTGCAGCGCGCGAGAACTGCGCAGGAACAGAATGTTCTCGCGAGATCCCGGCGCCTCAGCAGCTTTTTCTTTCGGAGCCTGCCTCTCCCCCCTCCCGCCTCCTCCCCACCCTCTTTCCCCCTCCCCCCCCCCGCCCAGCTCCCGCGCGCCTTCATTACGTAAGCGCCTGCGTCACGTCCTGGCACCGGAAACCTTGGGAAGGTGGAAGATGGCTGAAAGAGAAGCGGCCTGATTGAGCCTGCGCACCAGTTCCCGGCGGCGCTCCCACACCAAGCACCTCCCTTTCCGGAAGAGAAGGCGGAGAGCCAGCGGGAGGGCGCTGGAGGGGCGCTGTTGGCCTACTTCTGTGTTTAATCGCCGAGAAACTTCAGGTGATGCCGTCTCCGCTGCTCCCCTCACCCTTGTGTGGAGTTCCCCGCCCCCCTCCCCCGAAGAAAGAGACACGGTTTAATCTTCAGATTCTGCCAGATCCATTCTCAGGTCATCGGGATAAGTTATTAGGAGGTTAAGGGAACCGGCCATGGTTTGGGAGGGACAAGAGAATTGGGGGGAATTCCGCTTTGAACATGGCCTTTAAAAGCGGATCTTTGCCACTGTTCAGGAGCGCCCTCACCAGCGAAAGGAAGGAATCCAATCCTAATCACCTCACCTCAGTTTTCTTTCTCTCAGCCTGCCTCCCACCCTGGTGAAAACCACGTGTCAGACTTAACACATTCCAAGCCCACTAGGCCCCCAGCTGGTTGCCAGGGGCCACTTATGTTCTACCAGATGGATGACAAGTTTACATGAAGCTAATGAACCTTAAACTTCAAGGCCCTCTCACACCTGATCCTGGAAGAGCAGGAAACCGTTGAGACTTTAGTAGGTGGAGAGGGGAGGCCAACGTGTTTTCTGGGAGCAATTCTGTATAACATTTATGATCGGTTACCTATAGCGACTTAAGAATTTGAATCCCCCAAGTCTCCAGTAATGTGTTTTCACTATTGTAAATATTTAATTGTAAATAATTAATTTTGGGGTATTTTAAGAATCCCCAGCAGGGAGCCAGGTGGGTTAGATCTCGGCTGTAATCCTAGCTACTAGGGAAACAGATTAAGAGGATCAAGGGTCAGGCCTAACCCTGACATAAAGTTCTCCACACCTTCCATCTCAATAAACAGGGATGGGAATGTGGCTCAGTGGTAGAGTGCTTGCCTAGCATGCATGAAGTTCTGTGTTTGAGTCCTCAGTACCATATAAACAGAAAAAGCCGCACTGTGGCTCAAGTAGTAGTGCTTAGCCTTGAACAAAAGAAGTTCAGGGACCAGTGCCCAGGCCCTGAGTTCAAGCTCCGGTTGGCATAAATAAACAAGCTAGGAGTGATGGTGCCTGTCTATAATCCCAATTACTGGGAGGCATAGGTAGGCAAATCATACCGAAAATTTTTAAGCAAAAAAGGGCTGGGAGTAGGGTATCAGTGATAGAGCACCTAGCCAGCAAGTGCAAGGCTCAAACCCTAGTACCACTGAAAGAGAGAATTCAACAGCATATAAATTTCAATTCTACAAAACCTGTATTACCCATATATTATGGGAGGGGATAGCCAGGCACCAGTGGCTCATGCCTGTAATCCTAGCTACTAAGGAGGCTGAAACCTGAAGATCACAGGTTCAAAGTCAGTGAGACTCTGATCTCCATTAAACCACTCAGAAAACCAGAAGTGGCTCTGTAGCCCAAGTGATATAGTGCTTGCCTTGTGCCGAAATGCTGATGGACAACAACCAGGCCCAGAGTTCAAGCCCCACAACTGACAATAAAATAAAATATGGGAGGGGGTTTACCTAGTACAGGGTGGGCTATGTACATATGTATAGAATGATAGATACTGGGAAGATTTCCCAAAAAGAAAAAAATGCTCAAGCTGGAAAAATCAGCAATAGAGAACTAGTATGGTTTCAAGACTACAAAAAGTTTTGTGTTGCTGTAGGACAGACTGAGTTGAAGATAGGACTAGAGCAATGCCTTTAAACATTCAAAAAGTAAGCAAAGAATAAAGCACATTATCCTGACACCTCACTCCCCGTAAAGGAGGCATTTCAATCTCTAGCAGTACTACTAAAATACAGGTGGTTTGCTTTTAAACATCTATATTGCCACACAGTTTTTTCCTTTTGGCTATTACAAACCTATTTTCTTTCTCTTTGTGTATGGGGAGGGGAGGGAGAGCGCACCATGTGCGTATGCATGCATGTGCCAGTCCTGGGGCTTGAATTCGGGGCCTAGGTGCTATCCCTGAGCTTTTATGCTCAAGGCTAGCACTCTACTACTTGAGCCACAGCTCCATTTCCAGCTTTTTGGTTGCTAATTGGAGATAAGAGTCTCACAGGGGCTTAGTGGTGGAGAGCTTGCCTAGCATGCATGAAGCCCTGAGTTTGACTCCTCAGTACCACATACACAGAAAAGGCTAGAAGTGGTGCTGTGGCTCAAGTGATAAGAGTGCTATCCTTGAGCAAAAGAAGCTCGGGGACAGTGCCCAGGCTGAGTTAAAGCCCGCAGGACTGGTTAAAAAAAAAAAAGTCTCATGGATTTTACTGTCTGAGCTGGCTTGGAACCTCTACCATAAGATCTCAGCTTCTTGAGAGGATTACAAGTTTGAGCAACCAACACCTAGCTTGCAAACCTATTTTCTCTTTAAAGAAGATACCAGGTGGTATATGGAAAGAGATAAATGGAGTAAAGGAGTGGAGACAAAAATGAAAAGCCTATAGAAAAACAGAAAACAAAGATGAATACATAGTTGTACATCCATGTTCATAGCAGCTTATGCATAATAGTCAGAAGCTAGGAACACTTTATATGTTCATAATGGATTTTTTTTTTGTCAGTCTTAAGGCTTGAACTCTGGGCCTGGGAGCTGTCCCTCAGCGTTTCAGCTCAAGGCAAGCAATCTACCATTTGACCCACTGCGCTACTTCCACTTTTTTGCTGGTTTATTGGAGATAAGAGTTCCACAGACCTTCCTGCACAGGCTGGCTTTGAACCATGATCCTCAGATCTCAGCCTTCTGAGTAGCTAGGATTACAGGCATGAGCCTCTGGCGCCCGGCTACAATGGATTTTTTTTTTAATTTTTTTGGGGGTCCGGTCGTGGGGCCTGAACTCTGGGCCTGGGCCCTGTCCCACAGCTCTTCAGCTCAAGGCTAGCGCTCTACCATTTGAGCCACAGCACCACTTCCCGCTTTTTTTCTTTTTGCTTATGTGTTGCTGAGGAATGGAACCCAGGGCCTCATGCATGCAAGGCAAGCGCTCTACCACTGAGCCACCTTCCCAGCCTTACCATGGATTTTTTTTTTGGGGGGTCCGGTCGTGGGGCCTGAACTCTGGGCCTGGGCGCTGTCCCTCAGCTCTTCAGCTCAAGGCTAGCGCTCTAACACTTGAGCCACAGCGCCACTTCCGGCTTTTTTCTTTTTGCTTATGTGGTGCTGAGGAATTGAACCCAGGCCTTGAGCATGCAAGGCAAGCACTCTACCACTGAGCCACCTTCCCAGCCCTACAATGGATTTTTTTAATGTGATAAAGACCTATCACAAAATACTGTACAGCCTTAAAAAGATGGCTTTTTCTGATGTACGATAAAAGATGGATGATTTTTTTTTTTTCAGGAGTGAATAGGAGATCTATTCCTGGGGCTTGAACTCAGGGCCTGGGCATTGTCCCTGAGCTCTTTTGCTCAAGGCTAGCACTCTATCACTTGAGCCATAGTGCCATTTCTGGCTTTTTCTGCGATTAATTGGAGCTAAGAGTCTCATGGACTTTGCTGCTGGGGCTTGCTTTCAATTGCAATTCTCAGATCTCACCCTCCTGAGTAACCAGGATTACAGGCTTAAGCCACCAGTGCCTGGCTAAAGATGGATGATTATTGAAACATTATTCTAAGTAAAAAGCCAACTAGAACTGGACAAACTTTTATGATTCCACTTAAATAAGGCACCTACAATAGGCAAACACATAGAGACAGAAAAGCCAAATTACTGCTTAACACTGACTTGTAGGTGAAATGGAATGGGGAGGTACTATTAGGGCCAACAGAGGTTGGCGGTGTGGCTCAGTTGTAGAGTGCTAGCCAGTGAGTGAAAGTGTCAGATACCAAGTTTGAGTCCCCATCTCAAACCAAAAAGAAAAGGAAGAAAAAAAAAGGCATACAAAATTTCTATTAGGTGCAATGAAACAATATTGAGGATAGTTAGTGGCAAAGGTTGCACAATCATGTGAATATACACTCCATGACACTGATCTGCTTAAAAAAAAAAAAAAGCACAGTACTCACAACTGAACACTGGGCCTCACACGTGGTAGGCAAGTGCTCTACCAGTTGAACTATGCCCCCAGCCCTTGTGGGGTTTCATTCTTTCTTCCTTCCTTTCTTCCTTTCTTCCTTCCTTTTTTTTTTTTTTTTGTCTAAGACAAAGACTTGAACTGGGTACATGACCTTTTGTTTGTATTTTGTTTTGGATTTTTGTTTTTGCTGGTCCTGGGGCTTGAACTCAGAGCATAGGCACAATCCCTAAGCTTTTTTGGCTCAAGGCTGGCATTCTACCACAACTTCACTTCTAGATTTTGGTAGTTAATTGAAGATGAGTCTCATGGACTTTTCTTCCCAGGCAGGCTTTGAACCTGTATTCTCAGATCTCCGCCTTGAGTAGCAGGGATTATAGGCATGAGCCACCAATGCCCAGCTATATTTTGTTTTTTGGGTTTTTTTAAGGAAGAAATATTTATTTTTTAATGTCATCATATTTTATGAATATTCTAAAATTTCAATATAAAAAAGAAGACAGGGCAGGGCAGGGACAAACCCCCAAATAGGAAGTAAATGGTGGGGCAAGTCTACATAATATATTTTGTTTTTGAGGTAGGGTTTACATTAACTTTCCCAAGCTGTTCTCAAACTTGTGATCCTCTTGCCTCTGTCTCCTAAGTAGCCTG